AATATTTTTACAATCAGCTAATGATATCAACTAGTCAAATTCACTAACCTAATCAACTAACAACTATTTACCAAACACCCCCTTAGTCATACGACTTTTAAACCTTTGCCACATTTGATCACCGACTATTAAAATCTCCAGATATGATCCTACCACTTTTAAATTATTGCCACATTCAGACCCTGATTATTAAAATTTTTATATTTGGTCTCACGATTTTTAAATCTTTACAACATTTAGTCCTCGACTATTAAAATTTCTAGATTTGATCTAAGGATTCTCTAATCCCAAAATTAACAACTAATATCTCTTTTAATTACATAATTTGTATTTTTTGTACAAAATATTCCGTGTTTGAAAATTTAAATTTGCAATACACTGTTAATTTATTTATCTTAGATTTTAACATTATTAAAGTTTGTATATAATATTTGTATTCAGTATCATAATATCATTAGTTCAACACAATATTAACTTAAAAAATTTATAAAATATATAGTTTATAACTTTATTTAGTCGCATTGGGGAAAAACGAAGAAAGTGATTTGAGAGGAAAAAAATAAGTTCAAGAAAAATGTATTAGAAAGAGAACAATTTTACCCTTAAGATAATTCAATTGTTTGAAACTGATAACTAAAATGTAGTTTGGATGGACCAAATGTGGTAATGATTTAAAAGTCCTTGGACTAAATTTAAAAAATTTAATAGACGGAAACCAAATGTTGTAAAGATTTAAAAGTTGTGGGACTAAATTAAAAAATAGAGTTAATTACCGATCTTGTCCATCGATTACGAGGATTTCACCAATTTGGTCCTCAACTTCTAAAATTCCTCAATTTAGTCCCCGACTATGCCTTTTTTTTTTTTTTACCTGAAATGATCCTCAATGTAATTTTTTGGTCAAACTAAAAGGGTAAAATGAGAATTTTGAAAATAATCATCTTCTTCTTCCAACTCTCCCTCAGCCGGCAGCGTTTCACTCCGACGATCCACTTCGAGGGAGTGTTTAGTTTCAGAGTCTAGGGTTTGGAGTTTTGTTTTGAGGGCTTCGGACTTCTTCAAGAGGTTCGGCTCGGGGAGGTGAAGTGATCAGAGAGCTCTTTCCGTAAGAGAGTGCAACTGGTCATTAGAGACGTCTTTCGTTGAAACTTATCGAAACTGGGCGGCGTTGATAGAGAGCACTCATCGGGATCGACGATTGAACCCATTTTGGCCGGTTCACGGCGATGGAAGAGAGAGAAATGGGAACCCTGGAAATGAAATGGAAGTGAGATGAAGTTCGGTGGAGTGGCGATAAAGCGACAGAGGATGAAGGAGTGATAACGAGAAGGGAAATAACGTGAAATTACAAATCTGTCCTCAGTTTATTTGCTTTAAAATCGCTGATTTGACTATAAGACCAATTCAGGTAAAAAAAAAAAAAAAGAAGGTATAGTCAAGGACCAAATTGAAGAATTTTGAAAGTTGAGGACTAAATTGGTGAAATTCTCATAGTCGAGGGACCAAATCGGTAATTAACTCTTTAAAAATATTAATAGTCGTGGACCAAATGTGACAATGATTTAAAAGTTGTGGGACTAAAATTAAAAATTTTAATAGTCAAGAATCGTGAAAATGATCTTATACTCGTGAGGCAAAAAGTGAAAATAACTCATCTAATAATCAAGTATTATAGGACCAAATTTGGCAAACATAATAGCAAGTTGGTTTAGCCTAGTTGATATTTGTTTGCAAAGGTTGGTAAGGGAGGCAAAGGTGTAAAAATGGAAGAAGATGGAGGGCAAATATGGAAACTTTTATCCCCTTGAGAGCATCCACACTAGAGGTGAATGAGGGGTTAATATCAGACCATTAAACTTGGATGGAGATAATAAGAGATGTGAAGAGGAGTTAATGGAGGAAAGAATCATCCTGCAAATACCCAAATAATGTCAGTAAAAAGATTAAAAAAAAAAAAAATAAGCAACACAGGCTGTGCGCGTTGCCGCACAGCCTGTGGCCACACGGGCGCGTGCAGTGCACGCGCCCGTGTACGCGTCAGGCGCACTGTCAGCGCGCCTGACGCTTCAAAAATTTTTTATTTTTTATTTTTTATTTTTTCTTTTTTATTTTTTCAGTTTTCTCTATTTTTTTTCTTTTTTTCTCTTCCCTCCCACTTTCTCTTTCCTAATCACTCTTACATTATCCCTCAATTCTCCCCAAGTGGATGCTCTGAGTCCTTGACACATCAGATACCTTGAATAGTTGAATTGAAGAGTTAGTGGCGGATTTGATTGCCCAATTGCCCTTAGACTTCACGCGCTTTCCTTGTCTTCGTGTTTCTGTAAAAAGCAAACTACTACAATGCTACTTTTACTTTACTTTTTTTTTTTTTTAAATAATAATAATAAATGTCCCTAAGTTTAAACGAAAGCGACTTCCCTTCAAAAAAGAAAAAGAAAAAAAAGGAAAGCGACTTTAAAACAAAAACACTATCAGCGAACCATTTGACAATTTCAACTATGAAATGACTATTCAGGAGCATTTAGTTTATGGAATGTATACCTTGGGTCATACGATTATTGTTTGGACATTTATAGGGTTAGTTCAAGATATATAATATTGTTCAGGAAAAACATTTAAATTAGTCAACGGATTAGACACAAAAATATAATTAGACTTTTCAACTCAAAAAATTATAATTGGATCTTGAATTGTCCAATAATATACTATTAGATCAAAATTGACATGTTCTTCTGATTATTCTTGAAGTGGATGTCATCACATTAACAAATTTGACAAAAAACCCACCCCTCCTTGTCTTCGTCTCCCGCCGGAGACCAAGAAGGAGATGGATTTTTTTTATATATAATTATTTTATTTAAAAGTATTTAAATAAATTTTAAAACAAATAAGTTTAATAGGAACATGTCAATTTTTTTTGAATTACATAATTTTGAACAGTTCAGGAACTCAATTGTAATTTTATTGAGTTGGATGATCCAATTACATTTTTGTCTATAATTCGGTGACTAATTTGAACATTTTTCCATTACTTATGCAATGTGAGTATGATGATGTTATATACTCGTATTTTGTTCAAGTTGTATGATTACCTCAACCATCATGTAAAATATAAGGTAATGCGTATGGCAACATAATATGATTATAATAATGTTATATATAGATAAAAGGGAAAGCTAAGTTCCCGAACAATGTTCTCTTTAAAAAAAAAAAATTGTAGAATAATTGTATCCATAGATCTCCCTTTTTCCTTGCCTTCCTCTTTCTCTCTTAGTTGACACCTTAAAAATCGCAAAAAAAAAAAAAAAAAAAAAAAAAAAAAGCTATTGAGAACATCATTCAACTATGCATTTTACACGATTTTTGAAGTGTCATTAGGAAAGAGAAAGGAGGGCAAAAAAAAGTTTGAAAAAGAAAAAAAAAAAAAAAAAAAAAGGAAAGAGGGCAGACAACCTATAAAAAAAAAAATACTTGCAAAACAAGGACCCTACGTGCCCAATAGGTGCGTGCACTGGGCTCGCTTCACACACCGAATGCCTATGCCTGTTTTCCTTCTCTCTCACATGATGAGACCCACAAAACCCCAATATTAGTAGGAGAAAAAAATCAACAAAAAACAATTACCACATTTGTTAAAAATCAAACATCTTGTTTTTTACTATTCTAAAAATCATGTAAAATTTCATGTTGGGATGCTCTAAGGTTGCTTTTAGAGCATCCCCATTATATGATTTTTTTTTTCTTAATTTTTTGTGCGACTGAATGTGAAGTGAAAGAAAGAGAAAGAGGAAAAAAATGATTGAGATGCTTGCGGGAAGTGCTGATTTTTTATCTCCATAATGAGCCTCACCAAATATAAAAACATTGTTCCGGATACGTGTGTACTCCACGCACTCGCTAAGCGCGTTAGCTCCTTTATTTTTGTTTTTATTTTATTTTTTCCCTTCTCTCTCATGTTCTTTCTCCTTCTCATCCTTTATTATATAATAGAGCTATATGGTTTGGGAAATAATTAATGTTACAATTAATGCCACAACATCCTTTATTATATTAAAAAAAAAAAAAGCACAACATTTAAAAAATAAAATAGCTATATATATTATATAATCATATAAAAAATATACTTTTGAAAAATAAAATAGCTATATATTATATAATCATATAAAAAATGTGTTCAATTAGAGTTTAAATTTACACATACAAAATTTAAAATTTGCTTTCCAAATGTAATTATCTTAGTTATTATTCGTATTGTGAAAATTATAATATAGATGAAATAAAATTAAGAATAAATCAATGTAATTATGTAAATTCTCTCTATAAATTTATTTAAATATGCACATAATTAAAGATTTTATTAACCATACAAAATTATAATTATAATTTTAATTTTAATTATAATTTTGTATTATATAAAAATAATAAATACTTAACCAATGGAAGCTCAAAAATATTATTATATTAAATAATTTAAAATATTTCAATTTTTCTATTTTTTATTTATATTTATAATAACATAATTTTTTTCCCACTAGTTCCTATAAAAACCAAATAAAATTTCAAACAATTTAATAAAAATAAAAAAAAAATTCAAACTAATGGGTTTGTTCTTAGGGCCCATGGCCCAAATACTTATAAAGCCAGCCAATAAAATAACAAAACCTAAAAGAGTGAAACAAACATCCTTTTACGCGCTTATAAGCGTGCGTATGTTCAAACTTCAAACATGAAACCCCCCAACCTCTCCATCGTCGCCACGTTTTCCACCGCCTTCAATCCCTTTATAACCACCCGACTCAATCTCCTAAACTCATTCTCTGTACACACCACACCTCTCACGAAATTAACTTCGAAATGCTCTCTTTTTTCTTCAGATCTGCTATCTTTCTGTAGTTACAGATCAACGTTAGATCTCAATTTTCTCGCTTTTTTATTTATATACATATTTTTCATCTGTTTTTTTTTTTCTTGATCCCAATCTGTTGTGTTACTTTCCGATGGGTGAAATCGCAGTTCTTCGTCCTCAAGATCCTTTAAAGGATCGGCTAGCTTATAATCGTCACAATACTTTTGTTAATTCCAGTTTTCCCTCACCCAAATCCAAGAAAACTTCTCCTTCTTCTTCTAACCCTAACCATGGATCCGATAAGTCGAATCGGCGGAAGCGGAGTCCTCAGAAGAGCAGTAGGAATAGTAATAATACTAGTAGAGGCGGCTGCGGCAGCTTGTCCAGCTCTCCGCCGGCCAAGAACCGGCATCTGGTGATGGGTCAGGTCAAGATTTTGAAGCGCGGCGAAGCGTTGACTGTGTCGATGAAGGATGGCTTGGAGAGGAAGAAGATGGAGGGCGAGAAGGCTCGGGAGAAGAGCGAGGTGAATTCTTGTCCGCCGGAGGTGGACGACGACTTGGCTTTGTCGACCACGGATCGGCTCGGGCCGGAGCCCGATATGGTTCCAAAGCAGATCAAGATCGCCGATTTTTACGCCGGATCGGCCTTCATCTCCTCTCCCCCGCCCAGTTCCCTTCCCGTGCCTGCTTTCTTTAAGAAAAAGAGCGTCCTCGCCGCCGAGATCCACGACGACGCTTCTAGCGGTTTGCGGCGGCTTCTGAGGCTGGATCCGTCGTGAGTTTGTATAGAACAACCGAAAAAGGGTTTCTCTTTATTCTCTCCCGGGTCGACTTGAAGAACGTTCAGTTGGAAAGCTAAAAGTCTAGTGCTTTGTGGGTTGAAAATGTTGCAAGTTTGGTTAATCGCTCGCTCCAATTCGCAGTTGCTTCCCTTATTTTTTCAAGGGGAAGGTCGGATTGGCAAAGCAATTCGTCAAGCCTCTTTCATTTCCAGGTTCCTGCCTTGATCAAGTAGTAGTAGTAGTAATGGAAGTAACAGAATAGCTCTTACTCCTTGGTTAACTTTGCCCATACTATATATATATAGTGTTTCCTAGTCCCATGTTGTGTTATCTAGGTATTTGTCTTATCCTAAACGATATATGTAGGCTTCTACAAGAATAATTTGGCATTAGCTGATAGTAGTTTTAGTTTGTATGTGAAGGGTGGGGGGCTAAGATCCTCAATCCTCCTCTTCATGAATATGTAATTCTTTGTTGGTGTTTTAAGTTTTATCAAAGTTTATTTATATGAGTAGTTATTTATTGTGTCACATTCCCTAGTGTAATGACTTGTTTGAAACCATTTTTGCCTGTTTATAAGCTTGCTTGCTCCTTCTCTGTTAGTTGAATTTGTGGCACCATAACTTTGTTTCTTAAGTGTGTTGTAAACAATGGTAATTTCAAGGTTGCCCTTTGGAATTAGAGTCCCATAGTCATATTATGATTGACATGATAATGATTGTAGTCGAGTTTCGAACCTTGGTCTCTTGCTCTAAAATATACTGTCTAATGAACCAGTTAGCAACTTCTAGCCTTGCTTGTTATGCTCATTGGGAGTAGTCTTTTGTTAATCATTTTAGAGTTGTCACTTTGTACTTTGTACACACAACTTATATCAACTTAACAAAGCTTAAGCCTTTCCTCTTTTGATACACCTTCCTCCAAGTACTATTAGCAAATGGTGTTTCTAATCATTTGGTTTTGGCAGGATGTTGTGGTCTCTCGGTAAGTATCCTCTGCATTAGTTGCAGTTTAGCTAGAACAATATATGCCAACCATGGCAAATGAAAGCTGAACGGTATGGATTCTTCTTTGCTTCTCTAATATTTGCAATGGTTACTTTGCCCTATGTGAATGCTTTGAATATGTATTTGGAATAAGCAAGGTAAGGACATTGAGATAAATGGGTATAGGGTGTAAGAATTGGTGGATTTGATGCTACCCTACCAATTTGGTGTTGTGTTTTCTCAAAGTAGAAAGTTGTGTGATAGACTAGTTCATTGTGTGTAGCAATTGTTGGCTCTGGTGGTGTTCAGAAAAATGAAATTTTGTTTTCTAAAATTATTTTATTTAACATATCCTTGTGGTTTAGTGGCATGAAGTGGCTCTCTTGGGAGGTCATGGGTTTGGTCCTAGTGGGATAGTACTTAAAAAAAATTATTCTATTTAACATTAATTGCAAATCAACTTCTAACCTAATATATAGATGTTGGTCAAGGATCAAAACAACATAAACTTGTAAAATAATACGTGCTTAAGACGGTAAAAAGGCTTGGAGGTGTTAGGTGTATATTTTTGTGTAAAATACTGAAATTGCGTGAATGTTTTCTTTCATTTTTAGAGATTTTATACTTCCAAACCATTCATGACAATTTATTTTTTTTTTCAAATAAAGAAGAATCATAGGCTGAAATATTTACAATAAAGATCGATGGAATGGTTAAACATTCTTTACAGTTCCATAGCAATGTTAGACAGAAAAACTTTCATAGCAATGTTAAAGAAACTTGATTACTTCCATAGCAATATTAAAGAAAACTTGATTCAAAGACTGCTTCACAAATTTGAAGTTTGGAGGAATTTAAACTTCTTCAATGATTTTATCTTTATCGAGCTAAATTGTATATTATAGTTTAGATGAGTCTCTTTTTCAAGAACTTGCCAAGTAAACGAGAGAAGTAACTCATCAAAATAATGAGTTACGACAAGGAAAATAACCGTATGAAGGTGAAGAATGAAAGAAAAAACAATGAAGACAGAAAATTAGAGACGAAAAAGAATTAGGGTTAGGAAATATTTATGACAATTTAATTTCTAATTTCTAAATATCTCCATACGAATAAGGCCTAAGATAGCTTGATGGGATCCTGGTACCGGCCTATTGGCCCAAAGGCATACAAATCGATTAGTTTACACGAGGTATTGCGCAAATTATGCTGTGCAACCGAATGCACCTTGCAAGGTGCATACGCCGTTTTGGTTAAAAAAACGCGCGTCTCACTTAAAAAAGAAATCAGGTTCGATTCTCGGCAATATCATTTTTATATATTCAGAAATTCATAACTATATATCCAGAAATTCATAACTATATATCCACAGTGAATGAATGAAGTAAAAATCCACAATGAATGAATGAATGAAGTAAAAATCCACAATGAATGAAATAAATATCCACAATGAATGAACTAAATATCCACAATGATTGAACTAAATATCCATAAATTCATAACTATATATCCACAGTGAATGAATGAAGTAAATATCTACAATGAATGAACTAAATATCCACAATGAATGAACTAAATATCCATAAATTCATAACTATATATCCACAAATTTATAACTATATATTCAGAAATTCATAACTATATATCCACAATAATGCTATTGCCGAGAATTGAACCTGATTTTTTTTTTTTTAAGTGGGACGCGTGTTTTTAGTCAAAACGACGTCGTTTTGCATCGTATGCACCATGCGCATGGTACATTCGGTTGCATAGCATAACTATTGAAGTTATTGTATAAAAAAAATCATTAAAGAGCTTTAATTGGGATTTTTAAATGGTACTCATGTTAATTTTTTTGGAAAAATTAGACTTTTTGTTTCTAAGTTATAAAATAATTGTGGAATTCGTTCTTAAGTATTCGTCATATTTACTTTTTGTCTCTAAGTTATTATTGACGTTGCGTTTTTTATTTCTTTACTAATAAAACATTAGGGACAAAATTTTAAATTTTAGTATAATTCAAGGACAAAAAGTGAGCACAAAATACGAATAGTGCAACGCCAATGATAACTTAGGAGCGAAAAGTGAGCATGACCAGTACCCAAGGACAAATTTTACAATTATCCTATAGCTTAGGGACAAAAAGTGTAATTTTTTAAAGATAAATATACTGTATAAAAAATGATTAACACTCAGGGATGAATTTTACAATTACCCTGTAACTTAGGGACGAAAAGTGTAATTTTTTCTAATTTTTTAAAGATAAATATATTGTATTAAAAAAAAAAAGAACAAGTAGCATTCAAAAAAAGTATTTGAAGAGCTTTAATTGAGATTCTAAATGATACCCATATTATTACTTTTTTAAAAGATAAATATAGGTATACATCGTCATTATTTTAGTGTAATGTTTATATACATTAAGCTGAATATTATGAACATATTATAAATTGAACGAAAATACATATGATGTATATTTAGTTTAATATTTATGAACATATATAACATATATTATTAACATAATACATGGCTATTAAACAGGATATATATGTAATATTAGTGTTTATGTAATTTATCTTTGTTTTTATTATCATATAAAATGAACACTATGAACTTATTTTAAACTGAATGGAATATGGTATGAATAATATGATGTATATTTAGTTTATTGTTTGTGGACATTGATGCATGTTATTAAACATGATATATATGTAATATAACGTTTATGTATATTAAACTTTGTTTTTATGAAAATATAGAAAATACATTATTAACCTATTATAAATTAAATGAAGATACCTATGTATATTTATTTTAGTGTTTATGGACATTAAGGTTTATGTTTATGGACATATGTAATAAATATTATATAAAATAAAGAATATGGTTGGCCTAGAGATTTAAGGAAGTTCCATACCGAAAGTCAATGATCGAACACTTAACGTTTGATTAAGGATGCATGAATCTCTTTCACTCAACCACACCCTCCAAGTTAGAAAATCATTAATCATTTACTGTATATGTTTACAAATTCAAATCTTAATATTTAGAAACTAGATAGAGTTAATTACCAATTTGGTCCCTCGATTATGAGGATTTCACCAATCTAGTTTTCGACTTTCAAAATTCCTTAATTTAGTCCCCGACTATGCTTTTTTTATACCCAAAATGGTCCTAACCGTTAAACTATTTAGAAACTAGATAGAGTTAATTACCAATTTGGTCCCTCGATTATGAAGATTTCACCAATCTAGTTCTCGACTTTCAAAATTCCTTAATTTAGTCCCCGACTATGCTTTTTTTATACCCAAAATGGTCCTAACCGTTAAACATCCGTTAACTCGGGACCAAATTGATAATTTCGCTATAGTCAAGGGACCATTCCAGTAATTAAATTTCGAAGAAAATGGTGCATGTGATGATTGAAATAGTTCCTTGACTATAGCTAAATTACCAATTTGATCCCGAGTTCACGGATGTCTAACGGTTAGGACCATTTCGGGTAAAAAAAAGTATAGCCGGGGACTAAATTGAAAAATTTTGAAAGTCGAGAATCAGATTAGTAAAATCTTCATTATCTAGAGACCAAATTGGTAATTAACTCAACTAGATACTATATGTTCAAAACTTAAAAGCTTAACTTAGGTTCAGAAACTAGACAAAAATATATTCAAAAACTCAATTTAATATGCAGAAATTGAATACTATATATATTCATAAACTGAAAGCTTAAAGTTCATAAACTAGACACTACACCATTCACTCTGTTACATGTCTATAACATGCTTTATATATATATATATATATATATATATATATATATATATATATATATATATATATATATATATATATATATATATATATATATATATATATATATATATATAGAGGATTATATTCAAATACAAACAATGCTTAAAATAAAAACATGTGGATTGATACCCGCCGTTTGATTTTAATTTTGGATGGCTAGGATTGACTTCAATTTTTTCTACCTGTTTTATTTTT